ATTTATCTTAATAGGAAAAAAACTAAAAATGTATAATTTAACTGGCTGTGTAAAAAAAATCAATTTGTAAATGACAAAGTTGAATACATTTTCAAAATATGTAAATATTAAATTTAATAATTCATAATTATTTGTAAATTTAATTTTATAAACAGTACTTTAAATTTACATGATATAATTTTTAACCTAAATATTAGAAAAATGGTTTCATTTCTTTTATACGCATACGCATTTAACTGCAGAATTCTTCACGTGTTTATATATTTTATCAATTATATAAAAAATAATGTATCTATTCATAACTTTTTCATTCGTGAAACTTTTAATCATTATGTTAAATATTATATTTAAATCAATTATAAGGTTTAATATTACAAATATACGAACTTATTTACACAGTTTTATTGTACTTCAATATTGACTTACAAGTTATAAGCTTTTAAAAATAATATTAAATTATTTATTATGTAGGTAATATTATGGTAAATATTTTATGATATTTGCTATATATATATTATGTTACACAATCTTTTTCATATGCAATGATTTATCATTGAATTTAATTTTAAAATAACTATTTCAATGACTTACTCAATGACTATATACACCCAAATTCTAATTTACAGTAAAATTTCTTCCTTAGTATATATTTTATTATATTATCATGAATATTAAATTTAACATGACCATAATTTAGATAAATAATTTTCTTTATTATATTATTATAAGGTACTATGAATTTCAATTATTTACGTATCAATATTCAGTATTTTAGCAATGAATATTGGTTTATAGAGATATTTTTAAAACTGAAAGAATAAGAGTTATTTGCAATTTAAATATTATACCACATATTATATATTTTGATATTAAAAGTTTTTAACAATATAAATTATGAATTCCAAACTGAAGCATTTAAAAAATTAAATAAATACAAAATTATTAAAAAGTTTATATTACATTATTAATAATAAAAAGTAAACAGTACAACAAGTATCGATAGAACAAGGTTCTATGAAATATTAATAATAAACTAATTAAGTTGAAAAAAATGTATTTACATATTTTTACAAAATCAAAACCAATTATTTTCAAATAAATCAAATTAAATTTAATATACATTTTTTTATTTTATCTTAATTTAAGATAAAAATAAATACAAAATTAAAACCTAAGCCAGTGTATATTATTTTATTAAATCTATTAACAAAATATCTTAATAAACACAGCAAGGGAGCCACAATTATGCATTTATGCCTCGTTTTTACTCTTCTCCCAGATATTAATTTATTATATTTGTATATTTTTTCATATAAATAATATATTTATAAGAAACTGAGAAACAAACTTTTAAATAGGCATTCAAAAACACAATTGTTTTTTATTATTTTTAGTTATCATTACAGTTATAAGATTTATTAATACAAAAAAATTGTAAATTACAATACTTGTTTTTATATATACAAGATTAAAAAATAATAAATATTGTAAGTCAGATAAGCTTCATATAAATATTAAATAATTTAAAAATGTGTTATTTATTATTAAATACACTAAGTAAAGAAAAAAAAAAAATCAAAAGTTACACTACCGTGAAATTCAACTATTAACAAAATATTATAGGTAGTTAAACGTATATCAATTTAATTGAACCATATACAACTCGTAATTTCTCACTATTTTCAGTTACTTTAACGAATTATTTAATTACTTTATAGGCCAAAACAAGTCAAAAATCTATTCGAAAACAAAATTATTCTGCGTTGTTCGATCTACTGTAAAGTTTTAATAGAAAGTGTTTGGGGATTGCGTGGTGTAGTCAGAGCGTAAGGTGCTTTAACATTATCGATGCGAGGCCACGAGCCAAATTTCACGTAAAATATTCCAAGTATATAGGGTCGAAGGATAATAAATATAGCCATACTGTCGGTGGTTTAAAAAAAAAAAAGTATAGTACATCGTATGTTCGACAGATGGCTGAACGGTAAAAACTAATCAGTACCTAATCATTTATCACTAACTGAGCGAATAGCCCATAATAGTTAACTAATATACCTAACCTAACTGATGTTATGCGTATAAAATATATTGTTCCTTACAGTTATTTGGGAAAACGAGTAGAAAAAAATAACAAATAGTTACCAACTAATAAACAAATCATTTTTTATTGTTACACGTGTCAAACAATACAAATGTATTACGAGGGATGCCAAACTTTGAAATAAGTGTGGTAATTAAATAACAACGCAACACGCAACTAAAACAAACAATATAACAGACGTTTTACTGACATACTACAGCGTTTAAGACTAAAAGTAGTTTTATAGATCTGGACCACTATATTTTTTCTCGACAATAGATAATATACAATAATTTACGGTTTGACCGAATCATGTCGATTTGTTAAAAAAAAAATGTATTTTATAGTAGCTTTTAATTTAATCAAATAAATACGTAAGTTTTATCGGATAAAGTTGTATATGGGATTTCGTTAATAATTTGAGTTGATTATTATTTTTTAACTCGTTTCTATAAGTTAAAAAAAAATAATACTATAGCATTATTTTTCAAAAATATTGGCTTCAATACTTTTGAATACATTTTTTCGTATAAATCACCCAATAAATACAAAAATACAATTAATATTAAACACATCATATTTTTTTTTATACATTGATATCGAAAGGTTATACTACTTATACTTATTTGTATATATATATATATATGTATTATTATTATATTATTATATCGTACAGCGATAGTATTAATATTTTGATATGAAATGGCCTTGACTTTTAAATTAATTAAACCACGAATAAATTAAATCCAAAGTGTATTATTAAATTTAGTTTATATATTGTGCGGTTTTTGAATCGTTTGTTTTGCATATTTTTCGTTTACATTCTTTGAACCGTTAGTGAACAGCATGTTACTTCAAGGTTTTCAATAATTTTTTTATACATTAATAATAGAGTTACAGAGGAGACATGCGTTTTGAAAACTTAATATTTTGTAATAAATAAATATTAAATAATTGTAAAAAGTATATTTTACGTAATGTGATGTAAAATAACTTTTCTATATGATTATTTTTAAGCTAATATTAATAATATAAACTTTTTTTTTTATAATACAATTTTTAAAATGTTTTAAGCAGATATCTTGAAATCCTACTTTTAATAATTTGGATTGTTGAACACGATACGAATAATATAATTCAAAACGTTAGTGGAAGTTTACGATTTGGCGTTCCGGTCACGTTCTACAATCTTATAGCATCTTACGGCACCGAGACATATACATCTTCAGTGTTTGCCTTCGTGCTTTACGCAAAATTGCTAACGAAAAACTACGACAAGTAGTTACAGTTGGGGTCTAACCTCGCGTGACGGTTTTGTTTTGGCATTAAATTTATGGCTATGGTGACGTTGCGGTCGTCGTCTGTAGTGTGTATGGAATCAAATTGCCGGGGAACACATAATATATATACTTTATATCCCGAAGTGCATAGCTCACATTGTCTTGCATCACGTCAACACTGTCTTAGCGGCTCTGAATAATTTACGAACAACGCTAATCACACTTAAGATTCAATTTGCCATAGAATTACGAAACTTTATTGCATTCTGTATTTCTGTGCCGATATCGATAGTCTCAAAATAACAAAAGTATTGATAAAAATATCGATAGCTGTTTCATCGATAAAAAAATAAGTATATCGTTCAAATATTGAGTTAAATGTTCATAGCTATTTTATTTAAACATAATTTCAAACCGGTTTCGTAATTTTGGAGAAGTTTGCAAATGTAATACTGTAGCTGTTCATTTTTATTGCCAAAATACATAATACTAACGCCAGTTGTCCTGTAATTTTGTATAATTTATAATAACATTTCACTGTGATGTACAAAAATGTCTGTAGTATATTTTTTTTGTTTAAGTTTATGTTTTCACTCGTGTTTAAAATATTATAATTCAATATTCGTTTTACATAAATCACATGATTCGACGTTTTTTCTGCAAGTTTATTAATTCATGATATGAAATTGATCGATGAGTCATAAAATAAAATGTAATTTTGTTTTAGAATTGTATGTGAAAAACTATTATGTCAAAACACATCGTTAAACTTATCATTATTTTCATGGATCAAGTTTTAAAGATTTTCTCGTGATTTTAATTTATTATTGTTGCTTATGAATTTAAATTAAGTTTGAGTGTTGGAAACGAAGAACAAAATCATTCATCATAAATTTGCACGCTCAAGTTTCGTTATTAGAAATGTCAAATCAAAAAAGATAATAATGTAGAAATTTTAAACTGACGGTTATTAAGAATGCTGATTTAAAGATATTTGTATACCCAAGTTCAGCGTATTAAATTATTTAACGACAAACAGTGGCGTTAAGTCACGATAGTTGGTAAGTTGACTTATTTGCAATACATTTAATAATTGATAACTATTTAGTAACACAATATGGCCAAAATATTGACCAGAATAATTGTACCTAAAAATAAAATCGGCGAATACAACAACGTAAACCATAACACGACACAAACTTTCATTCGGCGTTTGTGCAGTGGTTTATAACCGTAGTATTATGTACTATATATTACCCGCTGTGCCGTAGTTAGGCGCAGCAGTGCAAACATTTATGGAGACAGCAGGTCGTGTAAAGTTTAACGACCACTTCTAAAGGAATCGTTTCGGATGTTATAAATCACGGTGAGTATGTGACGCGTACTGTATATCAAACAGGTAAGTGCGTCTATATACCCGAGAGAACGGGCTCTGTTGGTGAAAAATGAAAATAGAAAAACCAGCGGCTGGTTTGGAGCGCAGTCGTATGTGATAACCATAATGCACTGCGACAGTACAGTGTTTTCATTGCCGTTGCCGCGTGACCATTGCGGTACCCACAACAATACCGTTATTTTGTCCAAATAAAAAAAAAAAAAAAAAACATTATCAAAAAATAATATTATGTCTGTCGCCTGACCTGGTCGAATTGTCGTGGTTGAACAGCGTACGTCCGGCCCGCGTGAACAAGACCGCGTTCAGTGTGAGGGCGAGCAGCCAGAAAATACCGACGGCGATTGCCGATTGCGTGGTGGGCCCCAAAAGGCGGAGCACAGAGACTCTCGGATGACCGGAAGACGACATCAGCGTGTCCCGGTATCCGCTGAACAGACGGCTGGTGTGGATGCTGAACGCTGTGAAAAGATAAAGATAACAATATGATATAACCACGGATAGGATATTATAATAAATTATTTTTCACGATATCACTACACGACGAAGAATATTATTGTTATTATATATATATATATATATATTATGCTGTGTATTAGATTAGCGTATAACCAACAATTTCCGGGCTTCCGGCGATTGCTGGAGTCGGACCGGAACGAACGGTGGACGTTCGAGAAATTTGCATGGAATAGATATTCCGAATATTCCGAAATGGACAACTCGATAATAGTATAAATATGTTTTATTTGAGCTGAACGTTTTAAATAAATAATCCTGCGACTTAATTTCCAAAGTACATCACGCACTTTCAAAAACAAACACTATTTCATATCGAAATATTTATTTTGTACGAATAAAAAATTCTATTCTTATTTCTTTAAAACACGCGTATGATAGATTTACGTCTCTTATGTTATACAAAGACAAACATTTTAACATTTTAGTTTTTGAAATAAATAACAATTATTGCATCGTTTATTTAACCACTTTGAATATTGCTACTCCCCCCCTCCACACACACACACACACACACACACACACACACACACACACACACACACACACACACACACACACACACCACACACACATACACAGACGCAATGTTATAATAGTTATTGCATGGTTATAATACGATACACACTACATGCTTAGAGTTTGAAAAATGTAATGGCTGATTTATGTAATAAATTAAATATATGCATTTTTATATTTGTAGATATTATAGGAGTCTAAGGTTTGTAAAGTATTACGATAAACTAATATATTTTTGTATACATTTAAATATTCAATTCTTGCAGATATTAAATATGGTATGTTTTATATGCTACAGTATATAATATTACCATTATGGTTCCATATTTACACTAGGTCTCGTAACTATATATTATATGGAAAATAATGTTGAGTTATAAACATAATATGTTATTATATTCAATTCGATTGGAAATCGAGCTGTTGACAGTTAGTTTTATCGTGTCAAAACAATACGGTTAAATTTGAAATTATTTTATCCCTTTCCGTACCATAGAACAAAAAAATAAGGTAATACCGAGTATCATTATACGAGTGCAGTATTGGAAAGTTCCTGAGAATGTAACTTGGTGGGATTCCCGGATATGATCATGAATGATTAGTAATATAATGAAATGTATGATAAGTAATCACCATTTATTAATAATTACGTTTATAAATAATAGATATTTTCAATTACAATATATTCACACTTAACATACATAGTCATATTGTAAATGAAAAATAAATTGAGTTGCCATACAGTGACACTTTAAGCAATATAATAGAAGAATTGAAGTTTCACCATATAAATAACTTTTAGATTAAGTATAAAATATTAAGTTAAAATATAACAACAATTTGAAGATAATTTATTCTTTAGTAGTAAATGTTAAAACCCACGTGGCCTTTATATTATAAAGGTGAAGTATAGCTATATTACATCCTATCACGAAAAATAAAAAAATATAAATTCTAATTCCCGAAGTTGTTTTCAACAACTTAAATATTTGGTTTAAATCATATAGTATTGAAACTATTCATATTTTATTTTATCAACACACTAATATGAGTATTTATATTTCGGTGTAGGTATTGTTGCTCTATTTTAGTACTTAATATTTATATTAAATTAGTTTTTATGTTTAATATCATTATGATAACTTAAAATTATAAAGTGTCAACCCTACTCGAGAAACTATTTATTAAACTGTAATACATACGTAAAATATAGATTAAAATAAGTGATATATTATGATACAGAACGTGCTTAATACAGTGACAGGGTGTAGAGATTCACGAAAAAAAATACTTTAAATATCCTAGATGTCAAAAGACATAATATGGGCACGGCTTTTCATGCCATGGAACTTATGAGTTATGAGTGAGTGGCGGTGGCATTAGTTTATACTTATAATTAAAATAATTTGTTTTATGAATATTTCCAATAATAAAATACCCGATTAGAATATTTTTTTGTAAAAGTTAGTAGTTTGACTGAAAAATAAATATTTTTTTTCTATAAACTGGATTCTTGAAAGGAAACCACTTCAAATTTTTTTTCAATAAATTATAAAATAATATGTTGTTAGAACTACTGTTGATTTACACAATATACACCTATACAATATACCTAATAAACACTTAATATGCAATAAATATGTTGAAAATACTCCTATTTTTCTAAGAATGATCAAAATAACAAAGTGCTTTTTTAAGAGATTTCCTAAGATTATTTCAAATATAACATTCTTATCATATTTATTTTTCCTATTTCATAATTCTTTTAAAAATAATTTACCCTTATTCTTAGAACAATATTTTATGTTTATTATTCATCATAAATTATTAAGAATGAATAATTTTTCAAATATTCTAAGCGTATTTTTACTTAGATAATATTATATGTATATTTATATCATAACATAATATTCTTTGTGACATATTCTGTTGAAATTCTAACTCATGTCTTACTGTCAAAGTATAAGTAGATTATTTGTTACCGTTTGTTAATATATTATTTTAAAACATATTCTATGAATAATTTATTATAAAAATGACTGTACAAAGTAATCTTTATAAATATATCTAAGTTTTTGTAATCATATCAAAACTTTTACATCATAATAAAAACAGAAAATATTATTATGATTGATTATTATACTAAATTAATTGCATTTTGTATTATTAAAGCTATTGAAAATCATTTATAAAATGTCATTAAAAATCAACTACCTTCCATTGTATTTAGTATTACTATTTATTGTAATAATTAATTGTAAAAATAATGTATAGATAAAGTAAATAATTTATACTATTATATTAAAAAATATGTGATTCTTTGTTTAAAAATATTATTTATAATATGGCGAAACCCCTTTTAAGACCTACGTTTGAAAACAGGCGGGATTTCATGTAAATTTCATGTATGTAGTAACACAGTTTCCCAATTTAATCTAATAAACCGAAAAATGACGGTTCATTCAATACATTTTTTCCGCCTTATTAGGTTTTAGTTTTCAATTCAGTAATTCCAATTACTTTATTCACATTGCTATTCTGGATACCACTTTGAAACGCGTCATGTAATTTATTCTTTTAATGAATGACCGCTTTTATGCTGATAAAATCGATATGAGCTGATTTTTTACTTCGTTTAAAGTTATCTCTAAAACATGTCCATACATTTATTTCTGAACTGGATGGTTTTCTTCTGCGGATACTCGAAGTATGAACGGGACGACAGAAACAATAACAATGAGTCAAGACAACCGTCGTCGGCCGAATGTGATTTCGCAGCGTAGACGTCGTTGAAAAATTACGCGATCCCTTTACGGATTACGGTACGAATATATCAATCCCGACGTCACCAACAATGATGGGACGCATGGTGCAATATAATGGAACGGTTTACGCATTTCGGAGGCTGTGCGCGTGATTGTATGTAAATCCGTTCAATCCAATATAACGTTCAGGATAAGCGGCCGAAATCTTACCGGAGAATCGCTATTTTACTATACATTTAATATATAATGTAGGTTATAGGTTCTTCGTTTCCATCTCTCCGCCATGCACGCATGCGAAATACCAATTATTTTACGATCCATAATTATATATTATGATTATGGTTTTAGCTTCCGTACCAGAAAATTGTGACATCGAACGTGGGAGAAGGGCGATGGTTAATCGCGATTCATCGATGATTTTTAAATAGAAGAAACGGTTGAAATAACCGATACACTGATACTACAATAATATTATATACGCATCGTCACGCGTTGTTTGTTCCTCTCCACGATACCGCGAAAAACATTGTTAATTAATAAAAATTAATGACACGTGACAATTGTTATATCCTTATCGCCGCTGCTAATCTGAGCGAAAATTAACGCAAATTGATTGTGAATGTAAACAATACTTTTGTATTTTTATATTCTGTTCGCGCCCTATCCACCGTTAATTAGTTCATATTTAAACAATTTAATAAAAGTCCACTGTGGTCTATGACACGTGTTTTTTTTCGTTTTGAATCGCTAACTTAGAGGGAACTCCGTTAGAATTATTTCCTTTGAAAAATAACATCTTGTGGTATAAGTTTATAAAGTAAATAAACTCGTAATATTTGAATTGTCTCTTTTGCGTGAATTCATAATTAAATAATTTTCAAAGTATTTTTACATAGTAACTTAATTATTAAAATACTATATTATATTATATAATTATAAGTATGTCAATAACATTTACATGTTGTTAATTTATCAACGACAGTTTTATTTTTATAGTTTTTAATTTTTTTTCTATGCTTTACAAGACATACACACACATATATGTTAAAGAACCGAAAGTTTATATTGGAAAAAATATTTAGATACAAACGTAAATCGTCAACCAAATATTAATAATGTATCATAGAATTATAACAACTTTTTTTTTTTTTATATTGATAATTACAAAATCTTATTACAATACCAAACCCTAAATCTTAACCAATATTATGTATAAGCATGATATATGCAAAAAACAAAATTAACACAATAAGCCCAAAACACTACTATGAAACAGTTGTGTTATATTACAAGAAACTAGTCACAAGGCTCGTTAGCAAACGTGTTATAAAAAAAGTGTTGCTTGTATACACATCATATATATATCGTAATATGATTTCCAGTTATGTTAAATTTTTCGTTATGTTGGAAAATGTTGCTTAGTATTTTGGATTTTTGATTTTTACAAATAAATAGTACAACAATATATACATTTTTTTTTATTAATAAATACATAGAAATTATTTTCAAAACGTTTGTATTGTTGTAAATATAGAATAATTTACTTAACTAAAATAAACTAATAGACAGAAAATGTACCTACATACTGGTTTGAAAACTATATATTTTTTTAATAATTTTATAATGAGGACGTGTCTTACTTATACACGTTAAATCGAATA